CTTACAGGTGGGTGGCCCAGAGGTTCACTCGGCTGGCGATAGTGGCATTTATGCCGTGCCCTTAGGCATGTTTTCATTTTAACTATTTCGGGTCCAGTCTCCGAGTCTTGTTGCGATTCGAGCTTTAATTGACCCTTAAGTATTTTCAGACTGGCAATAGTGCCTCTTACGCTGTTTTGGTCGTTGAGATCTTTCAATATGTGGCCTGGAGGCTTGCATAGTTAACTATTTTGGATCTGGTCTCCGAATCGGATTACGATTCGAGCTCATTTTAATCCTCAAGTTATCAATTTTTTAGCTGGGCGACAATGGCTCTTACGTTGTTTGGTCGTAGTGACCTTTGAATATGTGGCCCGGAGGCTTGCTTAGCCGGCGACAATGGCTCTTACGCTATTTTTGCCCGTGGGCTTTTTGTAGGCTTTGTTTTCCGCTCGTTAAGGTCTTTTGAAAGATTTTTGCCTGACCCGCCGTCAGTTCTACAAGAACCTCAATTTTAAATTATTATCAACGATGTTTGAGCACTTCGAAAGGTTCATAGCCCGTAGACTGAATAGATCGAAGCCTTGTGATTTGGAGCTGACATGGTCGAAGCTCGTTTTTGCCTGTTGAGGGAAGCCTGTTTTAACAGGTTCTTTTGAAGTATATTCGAAGTAGTGGCCTGCGATTTTTGTTTAGCAACGATCGGGCGTCCCTGAGTCACGTTAGTTTGGCTGTATCAGCCATTTTGACCGTAGTCATATGCGTTTGGTCGGAGCCATTTTTGATCCCGAGTGACAGTTTAGGCGTCTACACCGAGGGTATGCCCTTTTGGGACTCTTACAAATGTGACGTATAACCTAAACTTCGGGATTTTCATGCCTATTGAGGTCTTACAGTTTGTCATGCCAGTTGAGGTTTTACAGTTTTTGTAATGTAGAATAGATCTGGTTACGCCGAGTATGCCCGATAGGGGTCTTATAGTTTCTGGTTTTCCAGCGCATGGCGATTGGCGATGAATGACACTCTCCGAGTCATCGAATTTGTTTAAGCATAAAGACTACTTTTCGTGAGCTCGTTGTTGCCTTGTAGGGGCTTTATGAGCTCGGTGTTCCGATCCTGGGGTCGAGTGAGTGCCAAATTATTGACGTTAAGTCTCCGAGTATTTCAGGATGCGTTTGGTGGAGTGGTCCCCGCCTGGAGTATACTCGAGATTCCCTTGCTTGGAGAATAATATGCTGAAAAGATGTCCTTTTATTGCTTGGTGTAATCATACATTGTTTCATTGTCGTGAGCCCGGCCCGCGCGGGTGCGGCTCCTCGGACCATTCGATCCGGTACATAATTCTCGATTGGGTCATAGTCTGCCGTTTCCCGGTCCTCCTGGGGGGACGGTGCCCTTAGAAGAAGATCATCGTTTGTCGTTGGATTGTAGAAGAAGGCATGTGACCTTATCGGATCCTCCTCTAGGGGGTACGTTGCTCCGCTAATAATCTTGCTGACGAGGCCCTCTTCGGGGCAAAAGCCCGTTTGAGGGGAAAGAGCGTGACAGACCCTTTTTCAAGTCCTATGGATCTCTGGGTAGCGTTAGAACTTTTTAATATCCTGGCCAGTTGTCTGCATACAGGTTAGTGAAAAAATAACAAGGGAGTAAAGCAGTTCTTCCTCACCGAGGGATGTGTAGGAGACGTTTTGAGATTTGGTATGTTCCTACCCTTTCGAGGTGTGAGTCCCGATATAGCCCCCCGTTATGTCTTATCAGGCTTGGCCGAAGATGTGGTTTGCTTACCCTTTGATCCTTCTGAGGGTGGGGGCATTGATGTCGGCGTTGCGCTAGATGGTGAAGAATTTTCTCTTGTCGCGTATTGCTTTCTGTCGACTTATTTTAGTCCTGCCCTTTGTGAGGGGTTCATTCTTTTGGCGAAACGAGGCCGATGCTGTCCCCGGGTGGTGTCCCAGTGGTCGTCTAAATAAAACGCCCGTGCTTTGTGCTTCCTTTGATGGTAAAGAGCTCGACGTCCCGGCCCGAGCTCAGACGGGCTGTATCAAGAGAATGGTCTTTGTGACGATTGTCGTTCGGGATTCACCAGGGATTCGAGATACGAGAGCGATTTGGTCTATTAGTCCGGACCGCCCCACTGACTTTGGTCCGACATCGTTGTTGCACGTGATCGAACCACCTGAATTCATGAACACATGTTTTATTCAAAATAGATCAAGTGAGGGAGAGGGTTACCAATGCATCAGTGTGATGCCGTGGCGGAGTCTCGGTTCCCTTTTCCCTGGATATAAGGGTATTCTCCGGAATATTTCCCTGGACCCATTTTTCCCTGACGGCGAACATTTTCACTTCCCATTTTATGAGTCCTCGGAGGGTGTCGCCGCTCCTTCACTATCGTGGTAATACGTCGTGGCTCGTTCACTTCATCATTCCCGGTTGCCTTCCTCCCTTGGGGCTGGACTCGAGTCTGACCGCTCGATGGTACTCGGCGGTGATTTTTGCTAAGCAGCATGGCTGTCACTCTTCTGAGCTGGTGGTTATTTTTGATCCCGTGGCTGCGCTTGCCCTATGGTTCCCGTGCCGGGTTGTGGTTCTTTTGAAGTGGTCTTGGTTGAATAGGTCTGAGTCGTTCGGCATCCCTGGTTTCACTTATGGTGATCATGATGTTTGGCATGGCAATGTCGAAATTGTACTCCGCTGGACGGTGTTCCTCTGCCAGTTGTGCCTCATCAGATCCGGTTCCACTGAAGGTTCCTCGAGGACGTTGCCCTCGAACTGTTTCCTACCATTGCGAGGTAGGTTGCATCTAGTGGCATTCCTCCCATTCGCGGTGCATGGATGGTACCTCCATCTGTTGGGCATTAGTTTCTTTGTTGGGAGCCTGTTTGGGTATACCGGGCCTGTAGAGGCTCCTGGACGGTTGTCCATGGCCCTGATTCATGGCCGGTGCTGGGTACGGTCATCCGACCAGGTCTCGGCTAGGTATCTGATTAAGCTTCGTTTGAAATGACCTAGAGTCGCCGGGCATGCTTCGTTTAAACTTTGGGCGAAGGCTTGGGTCGCCCAATCATCCGAAACCGGGAGCGATCTCATTTGTCCTATCAGGGAATAAGGCGCGACTTCCTGTGGTGTTTCACTCTCTCTTTGTTTGTCCTCAGATATGTCGGGCTCTTCCGTTACTGCTTTGATGGCGTCGGTGTGTGCTCCTGCAGAGGGATTTGCTGACATGGTAAGCGAGTTTGTGAAGTCAGGCGCTAGGCTGCGGCGCCACATCATGGTTTCTCTTGAGAGTGTTTCCCCGAACTTTTTCAACGGGATGGGCTCAAACTCATCATCTTGAAGGTCGTTGCCATTTTCCGCACATGTGTAAGCGGTAGTGTGCTCGTCGGGATCCAAGGTCCTATCGCACCTAGGGAGTTCTGGCGTTCCGTATTTCCGTGGAGCAGGTTCCGGGACCGCTACCCTAGGAGATAACTGTTGCTTGAGCCTTCAAGAACCTGACTTGATTCTCTTGGAGAGGTCCTCCAACGTCTTCGTTGTGGCGGGGTCTATTATCGATACGTTGTTGCTTGATCTTTTGGGTACTCGTTCGATGCAGGGAGTCGTTTCCAACGCTACTGTGCTTGGGATCCCTGGATGGCTCTGCAACTGAGCGATAGCCAACTGCTGTGCCTGCAACATTTCAAAAATAACATGAAGACTAACTTCCTGTTCTTCCCGGGCCGGGGTTTTTTGAGCTTCTTGTTGGTCGCTGTGCCAGATGCTCCTGTTGGTGTGAGAAGTTTCGTCGACTTGATGTGCGTCCTGTGAGTCCGCGTTCGCTAGAATCAGTCTGGGCGTGTTATCGGGATTATGTAGTGGTGCTCCGGCAACCGGGACAGCCACGCCATTTTCCCCGTAATTTTCGAGGTTGCCATTCTCGACTCCATTTACCGAGCCAGATATTTTGACCTGAAATCAAGAGATTTTTGGACAAGAAAAAGTGTGAAAGATAATGTGTGTTTGTGCAATGAAACCAGCAAGAAAATAATCACTATTATTTTTAGCCTCATGGTAGGCGGTAAACTGTTTACCGTGAAAATGGTAAGAACAATTAAATTTGTAAATAGAATTCTAAAAATACGTGATATATTCCCGAGCTAGTTGTTAGAGCAGTTGATGCTAATAATGTGGAGTTTAATGATGAAATGCAAGCTAAAACGAGATAGAAATCGAACCGAAGAGCCTGCTGCTCGGATATAGGTCCGATCGATGGGGACCTCGGGGTCAACGTCAGGGTCAAATTCAAGCTATCGGGGATAGTCGGGGACGGGATAAAAGGTGAAGATATAATTAAACAAGGCTCTTTATGGCCAATACTGAGTTATATGATGAAGAACAAGTAATGAAACGATGGATATCAAGGTAACCTCGGGCGAGTGAGAACGAAGAAGTTAGAAAGAAAAGAGAGAGAGAGAGAGATATATATTATTGCACCTGTGGAGAAATGGAGCAACATTAGTCCTTTACAAGGTAGGGTGAGTCCCCTTTATATAGGAGGGGAACTCGGCTACAAGTACGTAGAGATTTATTACAAAGTATGGAGATGGGATGGCTTGATGCGATGCCTCAGATCAGCATAGGCTCTGGATAGGGNAGTGTGAGTCCCCTTTATATAGGAGGGGAACTCGGCTACGAGTACGTAGGCATTAATTACAAAGTATGAAGATGGGATGGCTTGACGCAATGCCTCAGCATGGGATATAGATAGGCCAGCCCTGTCAGACTTAGCCGTGTGCCTTGGGAACTTCCCCCTCTGTCCTGGCTTCAATCTCCATCTTCTCTGAGTCAGGCCTCGACGAGCCCTGAGGTCGGGAACTCGGTCGTGGCTTCCTGTCCTCGGGGTCTCGAGGCGTTCTTCCGAAATGACTTGACAGCGAGAAATCAAGTCCTCTGATTTTGGCACGTACACTAGTCCCTAAAGAAACAAGTTACAAGTCCCTAAATCACATTCAATTTGCAACCAGAAATCGGGAATATTAATATATAGATGATGTTGCTATCATAAAATAATACCAAAAATACTCAACAGCAGTTAGTTGCACCGTACATCAATGATGTAAGCTAGTCACAATATTGTGTTCATAAACATTTAGCAAAAAATTACATATCACTAATATCTCTCGATTGTAATGTAAAATTTTCTTGAAATTCTCGGCAAAATGATGGCTAATCTGTATGTCGTCAAAAATATGCTTCTAGTACTTCAATATCCAAAACCTGTAGAAGAAATAAGAAATTTCAGTTAGAAAAACTATATATAACAATGTAGATGGAATGTTATCACAGTAGGTATGGGAATTGACAAGAAGAACAGTAAGTTTAGTAGGTGTATCATTGCCTGGATTATAGCAATTGATAAGATTCTCTATTTTCACAAAGCTGAGTGGAAACAACAGCTCCATGACAAATAAAAAGATAGTGACAGTATTATTTCCTTATTTTTCAGCAGACAGAGAGACTAATTATAATCATTAAACATTAGAGTGTAAAAGAGGACGGTGAGGAACACGCAGTGTTCATCAGTTTTTCAGTGGCCTACGTGCGAACAAAATTCAGAAGACAATACAGTCCAACAAGATCTCACATCATTCTCCACCATTAGAAAAAAGGGATTTGGGGAAGAAGTTAAGAACAGTCATTGCATAATCAATTTGCAACGAACTCTACAACACTCTAGAAGCTTACGGCAAGCTTTAATTGCAATTAAATTAGTAGGGCCTCTAAAACCCAAGAGGAATCAGTGAATCAATGGAACAATTAACAGTAACTTAGCTCAATCACTAGCATGCAAAAAGCAAGCTTGAGAACCTAAAGGCTAAAAATTTCAGCTTGGCACTACTAAGTTAAAGAGAAAAGATTAGGCATACAAGAATAAGAATGACTGAATGCAAATCTCTCAAGTAGCAGTAAGGCAAGTAGGCATACTAAAAGATGTCACATTAGACAAGTAATTTAGGAAGTGAACTCAGCCAACAGTATCTGAACTCAGCTACTAAAAGATGTCACATTAGACAACTCAGCCAACAAAGGAGATTTTCAGTCTCTGATGCTAATCCTGAGAGGGCTGAGAACCTTTTCAAATGCATATTGTATGAATACTAATGAAAATAAGAGGGATGCTGGGTATATAAGTTAACAAGTCTTAAATCCTAATGACGCATTTTAAATCCGTGAGGGCCTAGGCCCAGAGCGGACAATATCACTAGCGGGCTGGGCTGTTACATATAATCTAAAAAATTTTGCACCCCAATTAAGTAGGATTCGTCAAGTCGGTTATCAACAAGTTGCATCCATCGCTTACTTGGTGCCATAACCTTGGATAGTAAATAGAAATAATATTTAAAAAATTAAGATCACAAAAGCATTAAGATGCACATTACTTATAAAAGAAAGTACTACGATGCACATTACTTGTTATTACACTTGTCAGAATCATCTTTATGACTAAACTTCTTATGATTTGACAAGAATGAAATAAACTACAAGTTGATATGCATAACATATAACTCACAATTGCTCAACAAAATGAGAAATTAAAACACATAAGACACTCTAAAATTAAATCACTGATTTTTTATCTTGTCTTCCTTAAATAAAAAAAATGATACAATAACTATCATTCTATGCTTTTGATATTGTATAGTAAACAATAGAACCTAAAAGAAAACCTAAAAGGTCAATTAGCAAGAGAGATTTCGACATATAGAACCCGGGATTTTGACTCTCCATATATAGAATTCTAAGTTGCAGAAAACAAATAAAGAAACAAAAAATTGAAGAAGCCTATAGTAGCTATAGGAAGTTAATAGCGACTAATCAACTGTGCTTTCTGAAAATTTATTAGAAGAACAATGTATGTATAGCAGCTCCTGGATTTGAATTACAGAGGAGATCTGACTCATCTCCCATGTGAATTCTTCATCACTTGCTTCAATTTATTCAGAAAGTAGGGGCTCTTTTTTTGTATTTAAAAATGCTTGCATTTTATTCTTAACATAATTCAGAACTAAAAAGGAAAGAAAAATAGATTAATGTAATCCAATGAAAGATGTATCACCAATTTAATAAAAGATATTTAATTAGTCAGAGAATCCACTGCAAACTTGGAGTCTCGTCCACGACAATGTTTCTTTGTTCTTCAACTGGACAAAGATTTCTCGAATAGGCCAAACTTAATTTTCTCATTAATTTAAGCAAACAAAATTCCATAAAACTCAACATTCTAATTAGAAAATTCCTATATTATCCACTTATATGAAGATATGATTGCGACATGTTTGTACTTTCTTGCTATGAAAAGACTAACTGAGCAAAAGCACGACAAAAAGGTTATGATCGTGACATGTTTGTACTTTCTTGCTATGAAAAGACTAACTGAGCAAAAGCACGACAAAAAGGTTCAACAAAGGCTGCGTTCTGCCAAAAATTTTACTCTTCAGCTGACATCTTATATGTTTTTCTTCATGTTAGAAAAAGATATCTTACTGAAATCAGATAATCTTTGAGTTAAAAGAGGTCCTTTTATTCACAAAATGCAGTTTCATTAACTTATGGTGCAATTATTGATGATCCTTCTAATGCTTTTGATATTGTAGTACTAGTTAAACTATAAAATTATTTCCACAAACACTTAAATTGATAGTCTTTTTCCGTTTCTTTCCACCCATCGAACTAAAACAATTAGTAAAGTAAATTAAACAAAATCAAATAAACAGAACAGATTTCTGATTCAATGGGGGGGAAAAAGCACGAATAAGAAATTTAAAGAAACAGAACAGATCAAAGAGAAAGAAATTAAACTTACTCTTGTTTAGGCGGATAGTCCAATAGTATAATTTGTGTAAAGTACTTTGGATTAAGGCCTCCAAACAAGAAATTAAACAGAGTTCATTCTGTACAGAGCTCTCAACAATGACGACAAAGTGGCGCCTCGCTCTTTGCAACCTTTCTTAGTTTTTTTACCTTCTGAATTTTGAAGGAGTTATCGGCCGTTCCTAGGGATTTTAGCTTCGTCGTCTCCTCTTTGCAACCTTTCTGAGTTTAATTCTTTATAACCTTCTGAATTTTAGCTTCGCCATCTCTAGGGATTTTAGGTACGATCGAATTTTACCTTCTGAATTTTGAAGGATCGATCGGTTAGCGGTCGAGTCTCTAGGGATTTTAGGCTGAAAGTACTTGTATTTGAGAGATTTTAGGGTGAAAAGAAAATTTGGAGGGATACTGTGATTAATTTCCTTTTTTTTTTACTTTTAGTTTTCGTCAGTTCCCGCACCCCCTATCCCGCTAAAATCCAATATTAGAGACCAGATATTAATTTTTATACAAATCAAAATAGCTAATTGTATAAAATTACATATTAAAGACCAATAATCCCTATAAGTACACTTTTAGGGAAAATATTTAAATTGTCGCTAAATGTTGGTCCCTAATAAGGCTTTTTCTTGTAGTGCTTGTATGTATGCACTTGAATTGCAACTGACACCTAATTTTGCTTGGTAAAAAAATGGTTAGATATCGAGGGAGAGGTGATACTTCAAAGGGGAGGGGAGAACCTTCCAGGGGTCGAGGCAAGAATGCTTTACCCCTCGCCCTCCAAAAGATAATCATAAATAAGGCTACGGCCGGTAGAGGGAGAGGTGTAGAGCCCTCTTAGTCCAGTGTAGGGAAGCATCGGAGGGAAACTCAGTTCAAGAGCTGCCGCCTGTCCAATCAATGCCACCAGGAAGGTATCAGCTCCAGGACAAGCCTACCACATCTCAAAGCAGTTTCGAGGGTTCGGAAAGTGCTAGTTAGGCTTCTACGCCATCCACTACAGTTGTCCTTGAGGCACCGGCTACTACAGTTGATGACATCCCCGATGATGGCAGATGGGGGGATGCTACAGTTTCCGGTCTTGAAAGGTTGAGAAAGAAAGAGGTATGGGAGGACCGGTTTGTTAGCTTAGTAGCCTTCTCCAGCTTCCGTGAGTGAAAGCCAGTGAGGTCGCTCACTCTTGAGCGATAGTTCCATTCGAAAGATCTATAAAAGTACAACCTTGCAGTCTTGAGACAGTTTCGAGAAAGCAAAGGGTGGATGTGGTTTACCAGAGCGTGGTGGATGCAACGGTGTACATTATCCGTGAATTCTACGCCAATATGGCGCACATCAAGAAGGGGATAAAGCTAACAAAGGTGAGAAACCTCAACGTGCGATTTGACCAGCACACATTGAACACTTACTTGGGGTTTGATGATGTCAAGACCACAAAATACTTAGAGAAGTGTGAACTTGTGGAGACATCCCATCCTTGGTTAGCAGAGATGCTAGCAGCTCATGGGCCACCACCACCATGGATCACAGCAGGAGTTCCTATTTAGAGGAACACTCTGAGCTTTGAGGCGAAGAGATGGTAGACCTTTATTCGTAACAGACTATACCCGTGCCAGAATGAGACTTATCTTTCAATTCTGCCGGTAGTTCTAGTTGCTTTTATTATTGCCAGGTATCCGATCAATGCGGGTGCCATGATGTCGGCCAACGTCTCTGTGATCCCAAGGCAAGCTAACTCGTCTTACCCGTATCCCATCACTATTACAGTGTATCTCATGGATGCGGGGTAGAGCCGAGGGATTATGACACAAAGGTGTGACCGAAGAAGCCGTTCTGATGGTACTCTCTAATGGATACTACGAACCAAAGAAGAAGGTTCAGCCTCCTACCACTGCGGGTCAGTCTGACGAGCCAGCTGTGGTAGGTGCGAAGACTGTGAGCACGCAATTTTTTCCCTACGAAAAATACTCCAACAAAATCTACAAAAATAAATTTTTCCAATTGTTTTTAATTTTATATAATCTTAGGATTTCCTTTTAATTGTTTGTTTGCATTTAGTTGCATTTTTGTGCATATTTAATATTTTAAAATTATGAAAAATACCATAAAAATGTCCAAATCCTCATTGTATAGCATTTTTATTTGCATTTAGAATTTAGTGACATAAATTAATCGCATTAGTAAACGAAAATCACAAAAAATACAATGGTAATTTTTTTTAGCTTTTACTTTCAAAATTAATAATTTCCTTTCATAAAGGTTAAGTTGTTTAATTATTTAAATGTTAGAAAATAGGTAAGTAGTTTTAATTTGGAAAATTAGATTTAAGTTAGGAGCAAATTTAGGATTTTTAATTGATTTGTTTAGAATTTTAAAATCAAAGGAAAAGAAAAAAAGGGGAAACAAAGAAGGGAATTAAAGAGTATGCTTGGTTTTGCTTATGTTTTGGGCCAAAAACAATATCAGCGGCTCAATTGACCACAAATTCGCCCCAGCCCAGACCTTTAAAATCTGGTCCAACCCCTTTAAATACAAAACGACCCCGCTTTTGACCCCTCCAATCTCAACACTTCATCTCAGTTAATCCAACGGTCCGCAACTCTCCACCCCATCCCATAACACTGTCCTAACTGACCCCCAAACCCCGAAAACCCCTTCATTTTTCATCTCCCTCATCTCCATTCCAAAACCTAGCCGCCCTAGTTTTCCCCAAACCCTTGTGACCGGCGGCCACACTCCAAATCCCTCCAAATCTTCACTCTACAATCCCTAGCTTTCCTATATAGCTAATCTCCTATCAATTTGTCCTAAATCCTTGCAAATCCCTCAATTTTCAAATCAGAAAGATTGTTTAAGCCCTAACCATTCTTTGTTGAGATTTTCTTGGTCTTTTGAGTTTTAAATTGACATCAGTCGATTTCTTTGATAAGAGCAATTGACTGATGTTAATCTTAACTCATAGCATGATCATCCGAACTAGGTTAAAATGACGCTCAATCGGCGCTGATTCTGTTTGAATTTCTTCCAAGAAGGTACCCTCTATTTGTTTTTTTTTATGTTCAATTATATATCTAGGTGTTCATTTTATTAGTTCATCATTGTTTGTTGGGTTACGCATGATTTAAAGTTATGTCTGCCCATCCCCATGCATCACTTTCATTTTAGTTAATTGGATTAATTAGTATGTTTGAACACCGAGTCGATTCCTTTGTAGTCTTTATGAATTTTGATTTTCGTTTTAATGGTTTCATTGTTTTCTTAAGTTTTAGTTTAAGGGTTAATTCAAAAATCTTTTTTATGATAAGTGTATGTGATTTTGGGGTTTGTTTTAAAATTAAAAAGAAAATAAGGAAGGAGTTGAAAACAAGGGGTGTAGAATGTAACTGATAGGAATGCTAGAAGGGTTAAAAGAAATAGGAATTTTAGGGAATAATTCTATTACTTTGGCTGGGATATTCTAGAACCTAGTAATAGGGACTAAAAGCATTAAAATAAATCAATTAGGTCACAATTTAGGGGTAAAAAGGGATAAAATCAGAAGAAGAGGGGCTGAAAGTAGAAAATAATGTTTAAATAAAGACAACTGTAAAAAAATTGGTTAGAAAAGATGTCAATTCCCTAATTTGTAGGGAGCTGGCAGAATATTCTCACACTCATCTCTCATTTTTCTCTCACAAAAGCATACTCCTATACTCTATATAAGAGACCTCACACTCCTTCATACACACACACGTCAATACTCTGCATATTGACTCACTCACAAGAATACTTAAAAAGCTAAGAATCTAGAAAAAGAAATATTCTGAAGAAAACTTCAAAAAAAAAAAAGAGGTTCTCTTGCTTTTCAAGGCCCTGTTTAAAATTTCTGGGCATATATTGGAAGCTTGTTCTTTTTTAGCACTTTTAGTTGTGTTTATTTCTTGCACCATAGCTGGTTTTTCTCTTTGGAGTTCCTAACTTCATCATGTACTAATCCTCTCTCTGTATTCATCTTTTTTCATGTATTTTTCCTACACCTTATGAACTTATGAAATGAATGAAGTTTCATAATGGTATGCTTGATGGCAGTGAGTTGAGTTGAAGTTTTTTTTAATGAATTTCCCGCTTAATGGGTTTGTAATGTTTAAAGGCTTGAGACTTTGTTGATCTTTCATTAATCCCCATGAGCATCCCTGATACGTTATTTCTTTTTGTGTAAATTGTTTTAGATGAAAATTATCCAAATCTAGCCCGCATGTGATGATTTCCTTATGTTTAACTAAAAAAAATAGAAATTTACCTGTTAGATATGTCTAAGTAGACATGTATTTAATCTAATGTGTGTTAGCGTTAGAGGATCAATATCCTCATTTTATTACTTTTTTTTTTTATTGTAGATTGTAAGGTTTTAGTCCACTTATGAAGAAATGATCTTGAGTTTGTCTAGTACAAATTTCTTTAGTTTGAAGGTTAAGCCTTTATTTGTAATATACAAACTTAATGGAATCTACGAAATTTTTTTCTGATTAGTGATAATGAGATGTTCATGTATAACTAAGTCCAGTTTGAAGTTAAGTAGGAATTTATGCAATTTTGCTCTTATAACTTTCGTTCCTATACCATATAAGAAACTATATTACCAAATATGTTCATAGTTTGCATATTACCCTTCATTCTAATAGTATTTCTACATAATATATACAATGTATTAAATAAGGAATCATTATAGCTATAAGATTCCTTATTTAGGCGCGCTAAAAAAGGGAAATTAAATATTTTTCAGATCTTCCAATGCAAATCACGCACAGTAATCACTATCGTCGACTTCGTTACAAAATTTCCGTACTCTGTTTTTTGCGCTAAACTCTGTTTCAATATTTTCTCTAATTTCACAAATCAAAATCGACAAAATCTAATACAATTCTTCTGCAACAAAAGCAATTATGGCGAAAATACAAAGCAAAGGAAAAGAGAGAAGCAATTCCACCATTGACAACCATTAAAAAGCTTTGAAGCTTTGAATTCAAATTTGGATTTTCAAAAATTATTATTTGTTTGGATTGTGTGTTGTTGAAAATAATTGGGAATATGGTTTGGAGTTTATATCTCAATTTTGAGGGGTTTTGGTGAAGATTAAACTTGGTTTTGACTAAATTTTGGTGAGGAGGACTAAAACTTCTCCTATATTTTTTATCTGTTTTCACAAATAAAAAACGACTAAAACTTCTGTAAAAAACGCAATTATATCGAAAATACCGATTATGCTACAATTCTGTGATTCTCCTATATTCTCTTGTTACTCCTTATGAAATTGCAATGCTAAATATGAAATCCAAAAAAACATGATGAAGGGATAGATCTTCCTAAGAAATTTTGTAGATAATTTATAGAAACATTGAAATTCTGTATTTTCATATTAATTTTTCAAATGATATGTAGTTTTGTTGTATATTAAATGTAGAAAACAAGCCATTGTGAGTCTTATTTTACTCATTCCTCACATTCAACCTATTCTACGAATTCACGCCTCTTTAAATACAATGCAACCATACTTTCTTGAATTTAAAGGTATAGCAATATGTATAACTTAAAAAACATCTTCTCTTCTGCACAAGTTAGCTCCAAAACAGACGAAGTGGAATAACAAGCTCCCATCAAAACGTTTTACACAAAAATACAAAGCTCAAAAATAAATAAACAACAGTTTACAATTTATCTATTTCTTCTTCTTCTTCTTCTTCTTCTTCTTCTTCTTCTTCTTCTTCTTCTTCTTCTTCTTCTTCTTCTTCTTCTTCGAGTTTCAATATGAAATTCAGCTAAAACCAAGTCTAATATTCACCAAAACCCCTCAAATTTGAGATATAAACTCCAAACCATATTCCCAATTATTTACAACAACACCCAATTCAAACAAATAATGATTATTGAAAACCCAAATTAGAATTCAAAGCTTCAAAGCTTTTTAATGGCTATCAATGGTGGTATTGCTGCTCTCTTTTCCTTTCCTCTTATATTACTGAAATTTGGGATTGCGAGATAGAGAGAGACGTAGACAGAATTCTCAATTCTTTGCAACAACATCCAATCCAAGCAAACAAAGTCTTTTGAAAACCCAAATTCGAATTCAAAACCTTGGCTAAGGAAGAAATAATGAGATTTTGATACAGAAATCATAGGCGTGGGAGGAAAATGTGGGTGAAGGTGTGGGAATTGGAGAGAGAAACGTGGGGGAGTGAAAATTTGAGGTCCATAACTGAAAAAATGCTTTTTCTTGTTGAAACAAAATGAAAGTACTCTTTGTACAACACAAAAAGTATTCATTTTGTTGAAATAAAAGAAATTACTTTTTCTATATCATAGAAAAGAAAATACTCATTTTGTTAAAATGAAAAAGAAAATACTCTATCTACGACATGAGAAAAAAGTACTCTAAATAATATTTCTATTATGTAACATATAAGATTCAGGTTAACAACGATAAACGTCTCATACACAGAAAAAAGAGAAGAAATATAAGCAACTCCATAATAACCATTCTCAATATAGGAGTACTCAAGAAGCAAGTAGACATGAGAAAAACCATCACAGAATTATCACACACCATATTAGACAAGCAACAAAATATTTTTCTATAACAATTGCTTCCTATTCTAGCTTCCAACCCCATTTATGTATTTTAGTGTTGTCGCTTGAATCTTTCCAGCCAAACCTCGCGGAGATTCTGATTTTTTTCCATGAATGCCTTAGCTAACATATCGCTTTGCACCAAATAATCAAAAGCTTCACCTAAGAACTCTTCTTCATAACCTTCTGTTGCCATAATTTTTTCATACAATCTTGTCACCTCTAGTCGACTATCAGCTATCTTACTGATTACCGCTGCCACTTCTCCAAGCTTTGTTTATATATCACCGACCACATCTTGTACATCAGAAGAACGACTTCTTTTACGACTTGCTTTGATTTGAGAAGTTTCATTTACTACGTCTTGCACATCTTTTTCCTTTGATGGTCTTTCAATGTCATTATCATTACCTTTCTTCGAACTACAATCCAAGCCTATATCATCAAGGGACTTAGCACAATCACCCCTAGCTCGATCATTCCCGCACACAAGGGACATTTCTTCAAACATTTCAATCTTTCTATTAATGAACTTCTCATGAGTAGGATGAGCCTACAATACAATGACAAAGCAAAAATTATACGAACGGGACAAGCAAGGCAGTAACAAAATAATCAACGTGTTAGCTTTCTCAACAAACGACAAGTTTATAGCAATTCAAATTTCACACTAGCATGTGGTGCTAGACACCAAGGACAAGGAATAATAAAGTCATCTTTCACCATTAGAAATAGTCATATAACATGGATATAAAATTATGGTATCACATGTAAATACATGAATCTGTTAATTATCAGATTGACATTAGACTTTAGACATAAAAGGAAACTTCAATCATATATGATCACATGGATATTATTTTTATCATTTCACATGGAAATAAATAGCTCTACACAAAACAATACAAAAAATATTAATAATCATATGACAAGAAAACAGTAACTAAAACATGCTTGGAAGTCCAGAACCGACAGGCAGCAATAACACCAGATGCACAAAAAAATAACATCAGTTTCCTATTCTCTATATCTGTCTTCAAATTACTAAAGCAGAGGACTTACTAGAATTTCTGATTCTTGACTGTAAATATTCTAAGGTCCCCACAACAACTGCTTTAAAATTAGATGAATCAGAAAATTTGCCACAAAATCTGGCTCTCTGAAACCTCATCCTAACATTCCATAATTCACCCAAAGCTTAGATAATATCATGACTATTGGTTAGGCAACAAACTGCATTTATGTAAAGTAGAACAAACATTCCATTTTTTAAGCATTTCAAAATGGTAAGCATACATAAATCTCCTTCGTAAGAAGCCTTAACCAAACAAATTAGCGCACAGGGAAGCACATAACACTATGTTAAGCAAAGCAAGAACTCTCTGTTTAATGATCACATAAATCAAAGGTGCCTCTGAAACCTCATCCTAACCTAAACTCTTTGCATTTATCCATATATACACTAGAGGGGCAGCAACGTGCAGAAGCTATGTGACAAATCTAGCACAAAATTTAGCTGATTCTTCATAGGTAAAGCCAATACCTTGCAAAAATCTAGCCTCAGACAGAAGGGGACATTGGATTCAAGAATTTGAGAGCATCTAAGAATTAAACCTCAAGTTTCTTCTGGGGATGCAGCCAAATCAAAATTGAAGAAATCATATACAGATTCAACATGGGCAGGACTAGATTCAGGTGAAAATACTTGGTCACAAACAAGAGCTATGTAATTATTACTACAACTATGTAATAACTATAAAGAAAGTATATATATAAAAATATTTTACCTGAACGTGTAAAGCATAAACTCTAGGACTGGCAGTAATCATCTTCAAGCTATCATCCCATCCAAGACCACTTTTATTTAGTAGAGTTTGCACTGTATTCCATGTGCTTCTTAGTGTTTTGAGATGATTCTCCACATGCTTAGGTGTACACTCCTCCATTCCTAATTGTTGCTTAATGGCATCCGAAACACGATTGAATGAGATGGCCTTAATCTGATTAGTTGATTTATTCCCTTGCTTCACTTCATCAGCCAGGATCTCCAACATCAAATATTCCATTGGTTTTTACCACCTAAACTGTTTATCTCCTTTTTTTAACCATTGTTAACTGTTATAGGAAACATGTCAAATATGAAATTTAAGATAAATAGAGATAAAATACATAAGAGCATATGGAAACACAAACAATTAAACTAAGATGACTATAAAAAATCTATTTCTTGATAGACTAAATTCATCTATTTCTCCTCCGATCATAGTTTGTAAACATGGCATGAGCAATAGCATCTCTTTTCAATGAACATTCCCTAGCTTCTTCACGTCTTTCTCTAGGTGTCTGATAGGTTTGACTCCTTTGAGAACTTTGAGTAATTTGAGCATTTTGTGTTTGAACTAGTGGTTGCCCGTCTGCTTCTTGTATTGTTGGGTCATTTGGCTCCAAATCTATTCTGTGATTATGTAAAATGCACGATGATAATACCACATCCACTTGTGTTTTAAAGTCCCAAAAGGGTTCGTTATCAATCACACGAAACCATCTCTTGAGAATAGCAAAAGCACGTTCAACAACAGATCTCAATGATGCATGACGAATGTTGAACAATTCTTTCTCATTTTGGGGAGGACGATCACTATACTCTTGTAAGTGATAGCGTACTCCATGATAGGGAGAAATAAACCCCTTACGAAGACCATATTCCGCATCCAAAAGATAATATTTATCTACGAAGCAAAATCAAAGTTAATTAATATACATATTTATTTTTTTCTTTTTATAAACTACTTTAGATTGAATAAGATACCTTTGGGACTTGAAACCCCCGTGGTCTCTCCAATGCATCATTTAATATGCGCGAGTCATGAGCAGATCCTTCCCAACCAGCAAGCACATATGTGAACTTCAAATTAAAGCTGACAGCAGCCAAGACATTTTGTGTTGTTGTGCTTTTGCGGCCACGATACCTATTTTGGTGTTCGATAGGAACAGATGCAAGCACATGTGTGCCATCTATTTCTCCTACACAGTCCTATACGTACAATTAAAGTAAATAATATATACGAATATTCAAAATTAATTAAAAACTTAATATTTAATATGTTACTCACTGCAAACCAAGGGTAATAACGATGGTTGTTCCTTATCTCCGTCTGAATAGTATCATTCCGTGATTTCACAAGGGTTGGATAGAGCTTCAAAATTGCTTGAAGTACGATGTGGAAACATCGATGAACAGATTCAATCAACCTATAAAAATGCGACCCTATCTTGCAAAACCGTTCATTAAAACCAACAATTTCTAAGAAAATTAGTACTTGTTCTTGCACGGACATATTTTTGGTTGATCTCAAGAAATTATTTCTTCTAAGAGCATTACACAACTCAAAAAATACGGGTTGGCTCATTCTTATCTGACCTACACAATGAACAATACTTCCATTCAAAATGCTATTCATGTAAAATTCCCTCTCTTGGTCTTTGTTGGTATAAGGTGCCCTAGGAATGTTACTTTGATTTTCATAGGCTAAAATAATTGCAGCCCTGGCAGTTAAGACAGATGTGGCTACCGCTCCAACTATTGCATCATCTTCGTCAGTTTCAATCGACTCCATCTGTTGCAACCCAACTTTAGAACTTCTACTCATAAAAACGGATTGATAAAATATTAAAGAGAGCCTAAAAGAAAAGCCACATTGCACAACATATAAGCTCCTCTGACCACACAACAATCAAATTTCCAAGTTGTGGGTGAAGCCATATTGCTAAAATTTCATTTAACTTGAATCATATATTATCTTCTTGATCAACAGTATCCTAGATAGAAAAGCTTCCAAGTTCAACACTTGTGCTTTGATAGGTAACATTAACTTTCAGTACTACATTGTTTTGTTTCATAACTTGAAAGACAAAAGAGGACATAGAACTTGATATCATACATAAATTAATATTAAGCATAAAAAACAACAAGAAAGTGGATCATGAACAAACAAACTCTATCAAATCCCAACATGAAGAATATTTACCAAAAGTTCCGAATACTTAGATAAACCAAACTAACTGAAGATGTACCAATTTTTGACTATATTCAGGTCAGAAATTACATTTTAGGATTCTAAATATTGAAAATTTGAACTCGTGAATTAATCTCTTGTATTGCAATGGATATCAGGCAGAGCATTAGACTATTATTCATCAGTTCATCAAGCAAAAATAGAAGAAACTGAAGAAAAGTTTAAAACCCTAAAACAAACGCAGGAAAGGGGGGCGTGCGTTACCTAAAGTCAAGAGCTCAAGAGCGAAATTGAGGGAGATTTTAGACAGCAAACTGGGCGTTTTGGTGCGATGGCGAAGATCTTAAAATTCGAGACTGGAGAGAGAGAAATCGGAGTGAAGCGAGATGAGAGAAGGGAGAGAAATCGGAGAATGAAGAGAGAGAAATCGGAGAAAGAAAGAGACTGATTTGGGAACTAGCGATTTTGGAGGGGAAGGGCAGAAGCCAGATCGCGCATTTTGTTTTTAGGAAAATGTTTTCCCTTCAAATTTTAGGGAAAACATTTTCCCCTAATTGAAGGAAAATGAATTGATTGGAAAAATATTCTCCAAACTATTTGTGTCAACCAAACATGAGAAAATGGGAAAATATTTTCCAGAAAATATTTTTCTCCATACCAAACACACCCTTAGTCTCTTTAAATAAATATAATAGGCCCTTTTCTTATGAATTAATTTATTTGACTTCCATTCATTTAATCAAGTAAGCAAATCTGCTAATGATTCCAATAGCTGATCTTACAAAGAACTTTCCATAAGTCATAATCTCACAACAAATCTCAAAGTAGTTTAGAAAAATAATTCTAAATATATTAGTTGTTTTAGATGCGCTTAAATAATAAATCATCGTGACGGTGGGTATAGTTTTCGTGGCATAGTTTGATACATAATTCTCCAAGTCAGGTGCGCATTTCATGTGACTCGACCATAACTTCAAATAATAATAAAATCAACATGTTGTAGATCGTGGGTGCGTTTCACGTGACCCGATTCGCAATGTGTACAAAAACAATAAGTGCGCGACATCGCGACTTATTTAAATAAATTCCTTAAATCCTAAAAAGCAATTAAAATTCTATTAAAAGCGGTTAAAAAAATACACAATAGGTTTAAACATGTAATAACTCAGATAATTAGGCTAATTATTAATAGTTGAGCGACCGTGCTAAAATAACGGAGGGAGTGCCTCACACCTTTTCCCGAGTTAACAAAATTTCTTACCCGGTCTTCTGTGTTTGCAGACCAAAAATAGAGTCAATTTTCTCGATTATAAAATAAACCGGTGACTTGGGACGCCTTAATAATTATCCCAAGTGACGATTCTAATTTAAATAAATAATTCTATTTTGAATAATGTCACTTAAATTGGAAAAACTCCCTATTCCTCGGAAAAAGGAGGTGTGACAGATCTGGCGTCTCTGCTGCGGATCGAACCCAAAATATCTGGTTCAGGGTTTAGAATTCGTACTTAGAATAACTGTTATACTTGACTTTTGTTTATTATCTGATTTTTACATTTGAGCCTAATATGCTAAATGCTGCTTTTTACCGCTTTGATATTATGTGAACCGTATATAAAACTATTATGAAACCTTTCTTCTCTCTTGGTCTTCTAAATCTTCTAGGAAGTGTAAGCTGGCGTGACTTCTTTTCTGTTAGTATCATACCCTAATTTAGAATGAGGTTCAGATCAGTTGTAAAGTCGGGTGGCCTTTTGGTTCCCCGTACGTTGCCCCCCTCCCGACCCCGACTCGAGTTGTTCGCTCGGGTAAGTCAGATCTAGAACAACACACCCAGGATTTAAACTTAGAATGACATAACCTCATGCCGGATTTCTAGTAGGTACGTTTGTTTGCATCACATGTATTTGACTTTGGGACTCAACACAAGGGTTGAGTTCGTCTAGGACAGGTGTACTCAAATTAAAAGACCATATCGATGCATTTTACGTGCTACTGTACATTTATTTGTTTTGACTTGCATGTTGATCGGCTTTTAGAATAAGAAAGGAAAATCAAAAAAAAATACCAAGACTAAGGTAGGAGAGAAAATTCACCTAGTTTTGAAAATCCCGATACTCGAAATATCCCAAAACTCTGCCGAAATTTTAAAAAAAGAATAAGGAAAAAGTCATTTCAAAATAATTTGTATTTTCTTGTTGAGTGAAAACTTATCAAACTATGCGGGTTTGATTCTCACCGGATGTGGGATACGTAGGCAACCTCATCAAGTTCAGCCTTGCTTTGGCAAAAATAACCAAAAATATGAAATACTATCATCTTTTCATAAATAGAGTCAGGTGATGCCGTTTTTGTCCAAATAGTCAGAAATGTCCCGACGGGACACCAGAAGGCTATTTTTGCAAGAATAGCCGCCTATGATCCTTTTTTCAATTTTTTGGCCACTTAGCAAGCACAACCCTAAAGTCTTTCTTTCCGAAGTGCTGAAGGGCCGTATTTGCAAAAGTATTCGTGATTTGTTTAAGTTGGATTTTGTAAAAAATAATCTTTTCACGGTCAAGTTTTAAACAAAATTAACATGTTTTAACCCAATCACCCTAATTTAAAAATGTGTAGAATAACCATTGTTCTTAATTTACCGGTGAAGGTTATGGATCTGATTCCACTAGTACTACACATCTGGTGGGAGGATTTGGGAAAACAAAGACGAGATAGGTTCAATCAATACTTGGGGTCACTATTAAAGATTCAACCTAGAAGTGATATGATAGAGGCACTGATGTCATTCTGGGATCCTGCTCACAATGTTTTGCACTTCTCCAATTTTGAGCTTACACCTACTCTGGAAGAAATGGCAAGTTATGTCGGGAGTACGGAGGGATTAATACACAAGTACCTGGTATCTCCAAAAATTATTACTCCCACAAGTGTCACGACCTTAAATCCGGACCCGGTCATGATGTCGCCTATCGTGAAACAAGGCCAGCCGACACAAACTCCCAATCCATTTAAATAGTAATAATAATTCAGTTTAAGTCATTAATAAGTGA